AGGAGAAGAGTGAATACAAAATGGAAATCGATGACCTGAGCAGCAACATGGAAGCTGTCTCAAAATCAAAGGTATGTGAAGCCTGTACTCTAAAAATTTTCAAGTTACACTGTCCATATGGTTACGATATTCACATGCATTTTTTTTTGCAGGCTAATTTGGAGAAAATGTGCCGCACCCTTGAAGATCAGCTAAGTGAACTCAAGACCAAAAATGAAGAAAACGTTCGCCAAGTGAATGACATGAGCACTCAGAAAGCAAGACTCCAAACAGAGAATGGCAAGCTGATTAGCTAATTCATATATGACAATTTTACCTATTTTGCTATAAATTTAACCTTGTTATTGAACTATTTTAAAAATTGTCATGCTTTAACTTCTTTAGGTGAGCTTAGTCGCCAGCTTGAGGAGAAAGAAGCTCTTGTTTCCCAGCTGACTAGAGGTAAACAGGCCTACACACAGCAGATTGAGGAGCTCAAGAGGCATGTTGAAGAGGAAGTCAAGGTAACTAGAATTACAGTTCTAGAGTTTACAAATAAAGGATTCATCCTTTCATATTAACTCTGAGAAAAATGAAACAGGGTAGCAACAACTATTTAATATTGATTCAATACTAATGGAATCACATTGTTTTTTTTCTAGGCCAAGAACGCTCTGGCCCATGCTGTACAGTCAGCCCGCCATGACTGTGACCTCCTCCGGGAACAGTTTGAGGAGGAGCAGGAGGCCAAGGCTGAACTGCAGCGTGGAATGTCCAAGGCCAACAGTGAGGTGGCTCAGTGGAGGACCAAATATGAGACTGATGCCATCCAACGTACTGAGGAGCTCGAGGAGGCCAAGTAACTACACTGACTCTATATATTCACTTAACTCCATAAATAAATGTACAAATAATTCAGCTGAAACTAAAATTTCACTCTCCACAGGAAAAAGCTTGCTCAGCGTCTACAAGATGCAGAAGAATCAATTGAGGCTGTTAACTCTAAATGTGCTTCTCTGGAGAAGACCAAACAGAGACTGCAGGGTGAGGTGGAGGACCTCATGATCGATGTAGAGAGAGCAAACTCTGTGGCTGCTAATCTGGATAAGAAGCAAAGAAACTTCGACAAGGTAAATAAATGAAAACACACTCTCACAGAGTCACCTTATACACCAGGAACAACCAAACAACCTTCACTCATCAGACAAAACTGTTTGTTATTAACATGCCTTCACCTTTGTTTCAATAAATAACATTTTATGTTTCATTTTTCTAGGTCCTGTCAGAATGGAAGCAGAAGTATGAGGAAAGTCAGGCAGAGCTGGAAGGGGCTCAGAAAGAGGCTCGTTCTCTCAGTACTGAACTGTTCAAGATGAAGAACTCCTATGAGGAAACTCTGGACCACCTGGAGACCTTGAAGAGAGAGAACAAGAACCTGCAGCGTATGTCCCTCAATCAGCTGAGATTCGTTATAATAGCATTACAGAACCACAGACGAAATCATGATTATTTTTAAACATATTGATGTTTTCTTGCTTTGTTTATTGACAATTCAGAGGAGATCTCTGACCTGACTGAACAAATTGGTGAGACTGGAAAGACCATCCATGAGCTTGAGAAGGCCAAGAAGACAGTAGAGACAGAAAAGTCTGAAATCCAGACTGCTCTAGAGGAAGCCGAGGTAATTACACCCATAAAACAGTAATAACAGGAAATAAAAATAATGCTGGGGTACATGGGGTATTACATGTATTATTTATCATTTACCTTCACAGGGTACACTGGAGCATGAGGAGTCTAAGATCCTACGTGTCCAGCTGGAGCTCAATCAGGTCAAGGGTGAAATTGACAGGAAGCTGGCTGAGAAAGATGAGGAGATGGAGCAGATCAAGAGGAACAGCCAGAGGGTCATTGATTCCATGCAGAGCACTTTGGATGCAGAAGTCAGGAGCAGAAATGATGCTCTGAGGGTCAAGAAGAAGATGGAGGGAGACCTCAATGAAATGGAGATTCAGCTCAGCCATGCCAACCGTCAGGCTGCAGAGGCCCAGAAACAACTGAGAAATGTCCAGGGACAGCTTAAGGTATGTATACAGTTATCCTGACAATAAAAGGGAAGAGTGTATCTCTGAATAAGAAGATAATGGAAGATGTGTTATCCTACAGGATGCCCAACTGCATCTTGATGAAGCAGTCAGGGGACAGGAGGACATGAAGGAGCAGGTTGCCATGGTGGAGCGCAGGAACACTCTGATGCTGGCTGAGATTGAGGAACTGAGGGCTGCTCTGGAGCAGACAGAGAGAGGCCGCAAAGTGGCCGAGCAGGAGCTGGTCGATGCCAGTGAGCGTGTTGGACTGCTGCACTCCCAGGTATGTTTGAAACATCAAAAGTTATGTATGATCTTCCTGGAGACATTCCTCTAATTAAGTTGTATATGTTATACTGAAAACACATCAATGTCTTTCAGAACACCAGCCTGATTAACACTAAGAAGAAGCTTGAAGCAGACCTTGTTCAGGTCCAGGGTGAGGTGGACGATGCCATTCAGGAAGCCAGAAATGCAGAGGAGAAGGCCAAGAAGGCCATTACTGATGTGAGTCACATATTAAAACAAAAATTACTTTGAGATCGTACTGATCTCAAAGTAGAATATCCAGGACCAACATCATTCGTATAAACAACAATTGCGAATGAACCTTTCAGGCTGCCATGATGGCAGAGGAGCTGAAGAAGGAGCAGGACACCAGCGCCCACCTGGAGAGGATGAAGAAGAACCTTGAGGTCACAGTGAAGGACCTGCAGCACCGTCTGGACGAGGCTGAGAGCCTGGCCATGAAGGGTGGAAAGAAACAGCTCCAGAAACTGGAAACCAGGGTGAGCAGTACAACTGTTAAACTGTGTTTATGAGAAGGCTAATAACCTCTTATCATTTGGTAACTTTAAAGTGAAAAAAATGGATGGATTGACATTCGCGCATTTTATGTAGTTTTATATTTCACATTATTAGCATATAATTGCTTTACCACTTGACAAGTATTTGATAAATCCACTGGAAAAAAAATCTGAATTTTTACATTGAAGGTACGCGAGCTGGAGTCTGAGGTTGAAGCTGAACAGAGACGTGGAGCCGATGCTGTGAAAGGTGTCCGTAAATACGAGAGGAGGGTCAAGGAGCTTACCTACCAGGTAGATTTTTACAAATATTTATATAAACATAAGAAACATACACTGGAAACTGCTGGTATCTAACAATCCATACTTGTTGCAGACTGAGGAGGACAAGAAAAATGTGACCAGGCTGCAGGATCTGGTGGACAAGCTGCAGCTGAAAGTGAAGGCCTACAAAAGACAGGCTGAGGAAGCTGTAAGCATGAGTTTCTGTTCTATTCATTCACATTGCAAATACATAGAATTTTGTCAGCATTATTAATCCATAATCAAACAGACAGACTTTTATGGAAGACTACAAATTTTCTGCAGATTTTAAAGACAACTGATAATTGCCGTTATGGATGTGACATTTTTTGTTATGGATTTGACCAGTCTTCTGCAGACTATAGAAACCACATGCTTGCATGGTTAACTTTTATATGAAACAATTGAAATACTAATTGTGAAAAAAATGAAAATATATGACATATACACATATGTACATTTTGATGATTAGATTAGATTAAATTAGATTACATATTGGGTTCCTGTATTTGAATAGACTGGGATCTTGAATTTACTTGTAGGTATGGTGTGATCTATAAATGTAGGCATGTTGAAATACAAATAATGTTTTGTAGCAAATAACCACCACCATTGTCTGATTATGAATATGATATTTTTTACTCCACATATACAAAATACACCATAAAACTTCTTGCTATCTCTCAGTAGTAGCCTGTTGCAATTAAAGCTCTTGGTCCAACAATGATTCAGCATGACTCTCATGGTTTGATCTTTGATTGCTGTACAGGAGGAGCAGGCCAACACTCACCTGTCCAGGTTCAGGAAGGTGCAGCATGAGATGGAGGAAGCCCAGGAGCGTGCCGACATCGCTGAGTCTCAGGTCAACAAGCTGAGAGCCAAGAGCCGCGATAGTGGAAAGGTAATTTAATTTTGTTACCTGTTGTTTAGATTTTAAAAACATTACAATTTTTATGCTGTAAATTATTTTTCCTATTCTATATTAAAATAACGTAAGAAATTAATAAAACAATATTGTAATAAAAGTACAAAAATACTGAAAAGACATAAAGGATGAAAGCATGAGTATAAAATAGGGAGGGGAAGGAGGGGTTGTAACCCCTCCTGCAATTAAAACCAGCCAATACACGCCCTTGGACCCCCCTTAATGGGTGGAGACCTTAACACCCCCATTGAATGAAAGCGTAGTTATTACAGGACAATGCTCTAAATCTTTCTATTTCATTTGTAGGCTAAGGACGATGCAGAGTAAGGAATAAAAACCCAACTGGAGCCACTAACAAGCTATCATACAATATGAATTTCTTGTAAAATGCTTCCAACACAATAAAGAATCCAGTCTTGTGATCCATTTGTCTTGTGTGTTTTTGATCATTTGTTGAAGTAATATCAGCAAGTAAAATGTCAAATTACATGAACTGAAGAGACATCAATGATTGGTTGTTAATAGCATATTCATGAGATTCAGAATAAGGCTTATATATAGAATCTTGGCATTAACCACAGAAGCACTGCTTTGCAGCACAATGATATATTTAAGAAAATACAGCGGATTTCATAATTATGTGAACCAATTCTACCTATAAGTACACATTAAACTTTCCTTTAGTTATCTTCTAATTAGGGAGTAGCAGAAGGGACCCATCTAAGATAATAATAATTACACTTAACCCAATAAAAACTAATTGCATTATCCAAGTAGAATTAAGAAGGGTTCTAACACATGAACTACAGAAAAATAAAACTAACTCTGGATTATCATGCTAAAAAGCTAAATTTATTATTATTTATAAATACATCTTACATCACAAAGCAGGAACCTTTTACGAAGTGACTATTGTATGTGTGCCTATCAGCCATGGTGAACCAATAGCCTATTTTTGTACCAATATAGCCTATTTTTGTAGCTGCAAACAGGATTAAGCACGGATGGTGAAAGGGCTCGAACCTTAAGAATGATCGGTGTGCATGGCTGCCTGTGTACTGGACATCAATTTGAAACCACCTGGCTTGCTTTTGTTAAAAAGATATTTCAGCTGGAGAACCAAATATCGAATAAGAGGCTAACTTTACCTCGGTGCAAGCTGTGTATATAAAGTAATGTGATTGGTATAGGTTATATCATAATTTTGACTTAGCACCTAAGAACATAAGAAATTTACAAACAAGAGGAGGCTATTCGGCCCATCAATCTCGTTTGGAGAGAACTTAACTAATAGCTCAGAGTTGTTAAAATCTTATCTAGCTCTGATTTAAAGGAACTCAGGGTTTTAGCTTCCACTACACTAGCAGGAAGACTATTCCATACTCTAACTACACGCTGTGCAAAGAAGTGCTTCCTCAAATTCATTTTAAAATGTTCTCCCGCTAATTTCCACTTATGGCCATGAGTTCTAGTATTTAAACTAATATTGAAATAGCCATTTGGCTGAACAGCATCCAGACCTGATCAGCTCAGCTAACCTCTCCTCATAAGACATTCCTCTAAGACCAGGAATCATTCTTGTAGCCCTACGTTTCACCATTTCTAAGGCAGCAATGTCCTTCTTAAGGTATGGTGACCAAATCTGCACACAATATTCTAGGTGGGGTCTTACCAAGGAATTATATAATCGTAGCATCACCTCCCTTGACTTAAACTCCACACACCTAGAGATGTATCCCAACATTTTATTGGCCTTTTTTATTGCTTCCCCACACTGGCGAGAGTGGGACATGGAAGCATCAACATACACACCGAGATCTTTCTCGTAATCAGCTACCTTTATTTCAGTGGAACCCATAAAATATCTGTACTTTATATTTCTGCTCCCTGCATGGATTACCTTACATTTGTCTGTGTTAAATTTCATCTGCCAGGTATCAGCACAGTCCCTAATTAAATCCAGATCCCGTTGTAGCCTCTCTGCTGCTAGATCAGTATCTGCTACACCACCCACCTTGGTGTCGTCTGCAAATTTAACCAGTTTACTGTATGTATTGGTGTCAATAACATTAATGTAAATTAGGAACAATAGTGCTCCTAAAATTGAACCCTGCGGTACCCCACTATGAATGAAGGCCCAATATGATATTGTGTCTCTAATAACTACTCGCTGCTTCCTGTCAGTTAACCAGTTTTTGATCCAAGCTGCCACAGTTCCTAAAATCCCTGCAGCTTTGAGCTTAAGCAAGAGCCGTTTGTGGGGGACAACATCAAAGGCCTTCTGGAAATCTAAGTAGATCACATCGTAGGCCTTTTGTGATCAATTTCTCAACATCAGAAACATCAGAAAAACTGTTATCACTGGAACATTGATTCTGAAATTAAACTGTATTTGTCCCAGCCTGCAATTACTGCTGATGCTGATCCACTGGTTTGGTGGAAATTTCTCACCTCATAATTATGAGCCCCTGAAAGGTGTAGGTCCCCTGAATCTGCCAGGGTATACATACCCCTCTGACACCTCTGCATATGAATATATTTTTTTGATATACTGGACCCTGGCATACTACTTAAAATGTTAGTAAACTTAGCTCTTACCAAATTCAGATTTTTTTCCAAGAGGGAGTTTGAAGGGAGAAACTATGTTTATAAAACTTATTGTAAATGCAAAAGTACAGCTTCATTTCTGATCCAGCCAAATAGTAACTGAATCAGTGTACCACAATAATAACATACATACTGGAAGAACTGCACATGGCTACTGGTTTCTTTCTAAGCTAATTTACTGACAGTGCTGGTCTAGCCAACAGAGGAAAGCAGAGTAGACCACACCCTTCCCAAACACTGCCTGTATGCTAGCAGCCTAATTACTATTATATTTACAATGTGATTACAATGTTTGAATGTATTCTGCATAGTATTATAGTTAATAATAATAATTATTATAATAATAATAATAATAATACATTTTATTTGTATTGCACTTTATATTTTAGCAATCTCAAAGTGCTACGGAGATAAAATAAAAATAAATAAATAAATAAAACAGGAGAATCTATAAGTAGTTTCTATATTCTATAATCAAACTTGCAGCTTGACTAAAATTAATTTATTTACCTGTATTTTACCAGGAAGTTCCATTGAGATAAAAAATCTTTTACAAGCGAGAATTGGCCAAGGTAGCAGCCGTACATATTTATGGCACGTTAAAAATACAACACATTACCGTTATTTAAACACACTGACCTCTCAGGAAGCACAACATGTCTCCTTCACCAAATTCTTTATGACGCCCTTAATTTAATTTGGTTAATTTTAGGTTGTTCTGCAGATTATTCAGTGTCCATGTGCATAGTAAGAAAAAGCAGTTTTCGTCACACTGGTCAAAACTGGGGTATAGTGTAAAGTAACCACTAGGAGGAGTGTAGTTGGTAACTACCAGAGCTGAGACAGAATAGGGTACAGAGGTAAGCTGCCAATTTACCCAGACTCTTCATAGACAGAGTTGGGTAATTCAGGTCCAGAGAGCAGAAGTCCAGACCGGGATTTTGTTTAAATCAACCAGTTGAGTACTGACTCTTTTGGTTGAAACAAAATCTTGGTCTGGACTTTTACTCTCTGGACCTGAATTACCCAACTCTGTCTATAGATAAAAATATACCAGTGCTGTTTTCTGCAAGTGGTCAATAAAGGTACGGCTCCTTCCACAATTATTGGCACCCCATGTAAATATTTGTAAAAAGGGTTAGAAAAAATCCACCTTTTAGTGAAGCAGCTTCATGTCAGAAAAATTCAGAAAAATCCAACCTTTTATTAACATAAATTTATTCCAAGGAAAAAAAATCCTTCATCAAGAAATAATTATCTTTAACAAAAACACATGAGTGACAGGGCTGCCAATAATTGTGGATGGCGCTGTGCTTGGCAGCATTCGTCTTTCAATTTGCCCTCTGATCAACTGGCACATTGTGTTTTTATGTAAAAAGCTTGCAAAAAATCACCATGCAAAAAAGATAGAAGTACCCACAAAAATGCTTTTACCCATTAAGAAATTGCCTTTGCAAAACTATACTCAGATATGAAAGCAAAATTAGACTGCCAACATAACACACACTTCATAAAAAAAACCCGAAGGCTATATTTATGTTTTAAACCTAATGTACGAATATGCAATATTAAAAATCAAAATCACAATTTTAAAAAACAAAACTTTTCAACTTCACATTCCTTCAATACACAATTAAATCAGTGAGTTACCCTTGAAGCCAAATATCCTTCTTATAAATCTGTCACGGTGCTTCTAATCCAGCCACTGAAGTGCACAGATGAAAGTAAAGTTGTCTCACCAAAGACATTCCAGAAACACTGAACACTGTGACCCTGCGGCTATCACTGAGCTAGCAGCTATACTTGTATTTAATGCAACACAGAGAACACAGTGGTAATTTTCCACCGTGACATTGTTCTGAATGTCTCAGCTTTTGTATCACATGGATAACAGAGTTAGAATTTAATCATAATAACTGATATCTTTATTGATCCCAGAGGGGAAATCGTCTTTATGCCTCCCTCAACTTGCTCTTTGCAGAGTAAGCTGTCTGTGAAGGGCAGCCACCTGTTGTGGTGCCCAGGGAGCTGAGGATTAAGGGCCTTGCTCAAGGAACTGCAGATGTATTAAGGCTGAGTTGGAACTGGTGACCTTCTGATTACAGGCACACAGGCTTAGCCCACTGAGCCACATGCTGACCACACATCACTGCCCTTTCCTCCATATAATATTTCCTGGGCAAAAAATCTGGGTTGCTACCAGAGGCAGAGCTAGACTTTTATGTAAGGGGTGGCCAAAGGGTGAGCAAGGGTTTCTCAGAGCGGTCCATATAAATATGATAAATGAAGGAAAAAAATATTTTTCTCGTACACACTCATAATAAACAACGAGTTTGTAAATGTTTGTTAAATAAACACAACATTTACAAAATCATAAACACCAATCATAAAGTCCAAGCCTAATCTAATTAATTAAATGCTGCTATTTTTTATGTACTGCAAGTGTGAGACCACCTCTCATTAGGAAGGTAATACAGTGTAATATGTTATAAATACCTGCTTAACTGTTATCAATACCGCGGGTGTGTTTTGGATCATGTAGGAACGCGTACCACTGGCAGAGCTTTTAGCCAGTGACATGTCAGTAAGCAGCACGCACAGGGTACTGCTGCGTCGGGATGCCTTCAGGACCACTCGGAAATTACAGTTTTCCGCTCAAATCTTTGCCCGATCTCCTCATTGGTATATTTTAATGTTTACCATTTCCAGCGGGGTGGCACTGGGGGTGGCAAGGGTACTGTTGGGGGTGGCAATTGCCACCTCTGCTACCCCTTTTTCTCCGCACCTAGTTGCTATGTGATAATCCAGAAAATTTAACTGTATAACCTGCTCTGATTGGGTAATTTTTAAACCATACCATAAAAAGTTTTAAAAATCCAGGTCACATGCATATCAGTATATGCTAATTTGGAATATAAATCATGGTATATATTAGAACAAAGAGCATTAGTTGTGGTTTGTTCACTGGACAACACTATAGGCCTGAATCATTAACTTCTTTAGGTTCAAATTTAAAGCATATTGAATGTTTTTGTAATATTCACAATCTAGAAACCATTTAACAACATTAACTACTTTTCATGCATAATTAATATAATGTATCCAAAGTACAAATATACAACAACGTGCTTTCAGAGCATCTCTGTCCAGGGAGCTATTTTTGAATCGGCTTACTTTGGATAAAGTGTGCTGCTAGATCTTGCTTTTGGATCATTTAATTTGATCCCTAGATGACTATTATAAATAGTTCAAGGAAGTTAATACTTGAAATTAAGCTATAGTAAAACCCAAAATGAATTAACCCGTACCGCAAGCTTTCTATATGACTACGTAAGTTACCTTCACAAGCCAGGTTATCATACAGCATAGAATCTGGACTTTGGTGGTACCTGGGACATTACCTGCTTTTTCAGAGCGAAAAGTATCAAGTAACCATGAAATTCTCACACAAGCTTGTACAGGTCTTGATTTTAAAATTCCTAGAACAGGTAAAACAGCAATAAAAGCACAATTTTTGATATAGTAAATGCACCTACTGATTTGCATAAGTCTGATCTGTCCTGGTATACAGAACATAGGGTTACTAAAGATACATGAGGCTACTAAGGATACCTAATACCAGCCCTAAATTTTCTACAAAAACAAAATGATTTGTGTGGTATATTATGTCACACATTCCAGTGTGGTGTACACTTTTGTCAATACCACAGAAAAATAATGCTAAAACGATAACTGGACACAATTCTATCAATTTCTGCATGAACATATTAAAGGGGATATTAACAAACAGAAACCAATTATTCTGTTTTTGTTTAAAACACCATCTTTTCAATCACCTATAACCCAATTGCCATATCAAAAATATCAACAATTGCAATTACTAATTAACTGCAATTGGTATGCCACTAATTTCCATGTTATTTCTTTTTAAGACTTATGTCTAAAAGATGTGTTGAATGAATCATTTGGGGTTAACAAGCACCTCTATAAAAAGTGTTCCAGGTTTGTAACCAGCACGTTTAAGCAGTTTAATGTAGAGCCACAGATATATAAACTCTACTAATATTTATACTGCTTCTAATACTACTATTAGTATGACTACTATTACTAATACTATTTCTACTAATGATAATAACAGATAATTAATTATAGTTAAATTATGTACCGTTTTATGTTCCATGTTTCTCAAACACTACTACAGCAAGCCATACCTGCTTCTCCTGTGAAAACTACTAATATCTTTAGTCTTTACTGGAACAGGGGATATTTACGTTTATGATGTCTTGAGCAGCTTATCTACCTTTCATAACATAAGTTTTTTGCTGAGGTTATTAATGATAAGAGAAATGGCTGCTGTTGCCAATGTTACCTATTGTTACCTATTATTAAAAATGCAAGACTGGCAGCTCTTTGGATACAGTATACCAAATGACATCTGAGCAGTTCTTTGCAGACACATGATGCTTCTCCTTTGTGCATCATAACATTTTCACAATTTGACTTACATTTACTGAACATTTAAAATAAAATTTAATTTAATTACAAACTATTATCATATTCCAAATCATGTACTGTAAGACCATTCACAAACATGCTTCAAGTTAATCTTTTCAAATCCCATCCTGTGAATTCTTCAACAATTTTGCACAAACATGGAGATGGTGCTATTATATGTCTCAATGATAAAAAAGCAAGCTCATCATACAGAATAAATGGCTCATTAATGTGGGATGACACAGGCCCATATAGAGCAGTGTCCTTCTGCTGAGCAGCCAGCTTTGCTTCTATAAAAGCAGCAGCTCCAGACCGCTCCCTAAACTGGCAGGCATCGAGCACAGGTAAGTCAGTTTTTCTTGATTGCTTTGGAGCATTTCTCAAATGAAAATTAACATTTGTAAAACAACAAGTGTAATACCCGCACCATAATGTCACTTCTGCGCACAATGAATGTATCAGAATGTCTCATTCTGAAACAATGAGAACATCATTTCTCATAGTTTCACACAAATGTCCAAATGTTTTACTTCATATATGCAAATGGTTTTGTACAATTGTTAATATTTGGTACAAATTTCGGTTGCTTTAATCTTGTTGGTCAAATTAGATGACAGTGGTACCTCAGTACTCGAACTCATTAGTATGAATTTCTTAAAAGTTGAACAAACCAGTCCGATGAAAATGACCTAGAAATTGATCTGAATCTCAGAAGTCGAACCGTGAACGCCGACCTAACTTTTATGCGCGAGGAAATGAGTCACGCAGCACATCTCTCAGCGGAAACAAAGGGTAACGCTTCAGTCTCAGCCTCGCATTCGCTGTGATAGCATCGTGTATGTTTACACTAGCTAAATACATATACTTAGACAGTAAAAATACATGTAGACAATGATAAACAGTAACAGTAATTATTATTATATAATAAAATACATTTAAAAATTAAGAGTTCTTATTAATTATTTTAATATCATTAATAATAAACTATTAATACATTTAATTATAATAATATTGTCATGCCCAGCGGGGACGGAACGGAGACAAAGGCGCAGATGTCGGGGTATCGGGGAATACGAGGTTTAATTACAGGTAAGGCAGGCAAAACGCAGACGGACAATACAATGACCGGACTAGGGAAACAAACTGAAACGCGGACGAAATACAGAGGGTTAATGACAACAACCAGAAACAGCTGATCACACGGGATTCCACAAGAGGTTAACGAGGGGGTGTGGCACACGCGGAGCGGACGATCGGGGCAGGATATATTGGGGTTTTTTTTAACTTTACACATTGTTTGGATACATTTATTTTCTTACTGTTTTGATAAATGTGCTTAGATGTGTTTAGTACAGTATATGCTCTTCTTGTTTAACCCTGTTCATTTTGTGTTTAAATGCTAAAAAAACATATTTAGATGTAATTTTTTGGGGCCGGGAACCAATTAATTGGTTTTCCATTATTTCCTATGGGGAAAATTCGATCAGAACTCAAACTTATTAGGATTCGAACCTGAGTTCTGAACGGATTAAGTTTGAGTTCTGAGGTACCACTGTATGTAGTTTCCCTGTATTAAATTTTCACCCAGAACAATATATGCATCGTGTTAACCACCCCATGCAAAACAGTTAACCAAGCTGTCAAAATGATTCCATAAATTGCAGTGACACAGCATTATTGTGTTTTTGCTTCCTACAGTACAACATTCTGTTGTCATTTCGTTGTTCTAGTATTGTGATTTTGCTGATTTGATGTTATAGAGTACTGTGTGATTTTTTTGTTTGCTATCATACTATGTCTTGAGATCTGAAGTTGTTACCTGTACATGCGAGTCCTTTCTCTTGCCAGTGAACTTTACATACTGTAATGCAGAGCCACACCATGTTGAAACTCATGTCTGACATAAATAATAGTTTGCTGAAGAAAAATTATCAGTCTGTGACAATGAGAAAGTGGTAACAGACTATCATTCAGATTTTTGGAGCACAGGAGCATACTTTTAATGACATTTTGACAACATTTCTGAGCATTTGAAAGGCCATGGTTAAAACTGTGCTGACTGTACTTTTCATTTTGGTGGCAATGACTAATTCATTGGTGGAATTATTTGCTTTTGAGACATAAATTAATTGTTCTTGGTAAGTTACAGTACTGGATCTGTTTTATTGGCTTTGTGAAGGTGTTATTGCAAAAGCTATTCAGCCATAGGCTCCTTATAGCTTCGTATTTTGTCACTAGCAATGTATCTATTGTTCGATATAAGGTATAATAATGCATAGCATCTTTCAAAAGCAGTCATATTTTATTACTCATATTTTGTAAAAATGGACATTTTTATCCAGAAAAAAACACAGGGGTGATATTGGTAAAATATTTTTCACCAAATATAGCAAAATAAAATTAAATAAAAGTGGAATACATTTGGCTGATTTGGTATCCATTTCAAATCAGAATGGTTCTTAACTGACTTTTAATTTGAAATAAATAAATTAATTATTCTATCCCTGTCTCCCTTTCATACTTAATTTGTGACCATGAAAACATGTTAGGGTAACTAGTACCAGTAAATTAGGTAACGGTAAAGTTATTATACTGATAAATTAATGTTTGGAAGCTTATGTAGTCATGCCTTTTCCATTTTCCTTTTATTGAAATAATCAGATTAGTTTAATTTTTATTATGTAGAAGATTGTTGGTATAACAGCTTTCTAAAATATATTTTGTTTTATTCCACTATAAGCATTTAAGATTTAAATCATGAAATTAAATTTCAATGCATAAAATTTACAGGTCTGACCTTGTAATTGAAAAGCATTCAATCAACATGCTTTTCCCTACAATTCACATTTAAAATTCTTTTTGTCTTTTGTAACCAAAGACGATCCACTTCCACCTTGTGTGTTAGCGATAAAGAAGGTAAATTAGCAATACTTTAAGTAAAATGTATTGATCCTAAACCATGCTAATATACATTTACAATTATATACAATTAGACACTATCAAGTTCACTGTGGTGGCTTAGCATTTGATTCCTGCCCTTGTCTAAGCCCATTTATCAATCTATAGTAAAATATTAGTATTAATATGGAGGGATTTATAATAAAGAAATACAATATTATGTAGTGCTGAAAATGCATGAAATCTCAATATGAATGAAAAACCTGATAGATGGCTGGTTATATTCACTTATTAAAATCCATTAAATAAAGGCGTAACGGACATAAGAGATTTGCGTGATGTATGACAAATGATTTTCCCATTGCTCAGTAAACCGCCATCATGGGGGATGGAGAAATGGAGTGTTTTGGCCCGGCGGCCATTTACCTCCGGAAGCCAGAGAAAGAGAGGATTGAGGCCCAGAGCAAACCCTTTGATGCCAAAACGGCCTATTTTGTGGCTGAACCAAAGGAGATGTACCTCAAAGGGGTTCTTCAAAGTACAGAGGGGGGCAAAGCCACTGTTAAGACTTTGTGTGGGCAAGTAAGTACAACTGTGTACCTAACAGATTAATTACATATCATTAGTACAAAATTATTAAGCTTTTCTTATGATAGGAATCCATATCAGGATTATAATAATGGTATAACTACCACTTTTACACATACGATGGTGCTTTAAAGTTGGAAGTGAATTTTCCATATTGCTGCATAAATTTGACATAAAGCATCATCAGATCTTCACACAAGTCCTAAAAGTAGGTGAAGAGAACACAACTGAACAAATGAGACAAAAAATATCATACTTGGTTATTTATTTATACAATGTCACTAATCTGTGAGTGGCAAATGTATGTGAACCTTGCAGGTAATTCGAAGGTGAGATTAGAGTCAGGTGTTGTCAATGTGATGACAATCAGGTGTGAATGGGCGCCCTCTTCGTATTAACAGAACAGGCTTCTACCAAGGGCTTCATCTTCAAACATGTTTGTGCAGTATCAGCGTATCATGCCACATTCAAAGTACAGTTTGCAGGCCCTCAGAAAAAGAATTGTTGATGCTCATTGTGCTGAGAAAGGCTAAAATTCCTGCAAGCTGATGAGCAGGACAGATCAAGACCGACTGAAAATGTTTAGTTGCAGTTATTGCTGCAAAAGGTGATCATACCAAATACTAAAAGCAAAGGTTCCCATACTTTTGCCACTCACAGATTTGTGACATTGGAATATTTTGCTCGATAAATGAATGACCAAGCATGATATTTTTGTCTCATTTCTTGAACTGTGTTCCTTTCGCCTACCTTTAGGACTTGGGTGAAAAACTAATGATGTTTTAAGTCATATTTATGAGAATATGAAAAATTCTTAAGTCTTCTGAACTTTCAAGCACCACTGTAAAGCAAAAAAAACAACAACATTGTTATTATAAGGTCTTTTGTTGTAAGTTACATTTTTTACATCTCGGGACAAATCTCTGTGTCTCTTTAATACAGACCATTACAGTTACGGAGGATAACATTTACCCAGTGAACCCTCCAAAGTTTGATAAAATGGAGGACATGGTCATGATGGCCCACCTCAATGAGCCCGCTGTGCTGTTCAACCTCAAAGAGCGTTACGCAGCATGGATGATCTATGTAGGTTTTTACATTAAATCTGTTTTATGCGTCCTTTCATATAAAAAAGTACATGTATGAATAAATGTTTACTTTCTGTATTACAGACCTACTCTGGGCTGTTCTGTGTCACTGTGAACCCCTACAAGTGGCTCCCAGTGTACGATGCTGTTGTTGTGGCCGGCTACAGGGGCAAGAAGAGAGTTGAAGCTCCTCCCCACATCTTCTCCATCTCTGACAATGCCTATCAGTTCATGCTCATGGGTATAAATAACCCAAAATATGGATTTGTTTTGTAAATTTGACGTACTACCTCACCAAAATTTCCAGTTATGCATTATTTGTATTGTAGGGGGTATTATTGGCTGAGAATTACAAAACAATATATTTCCTTATCATTCTTCTTGCAGATCATGAGAACCAATCCCTCCTGATAACGCAAGTATCTGGATGCAGAATACAGATCTTAATAACCAATGTTGAAAACCAAACAAAAAACTGAAAACTAAATGCCAAAATAATTAACTTGAAAGCCGAATACAAAATAAGTCACATGCATGTCTTATACCTGAATCTATTTTCCATACTCACCCATAGTGGAGAATCCGGTGCAGGAAAGACTGTGAACACCAAACGTGTCATCCAGTATTTTGCCACAGTCGGCGCTTCAGACAAGAAAAAAGCTGAGCCTGTTCCTGGAAAAATGCAGGTGAGAGAGAAAAACAAAGACTATGAATAAGGAACATATATACAGAAGCAAGAGTCTCAATGCTCCAGTGTCTCCTGTAGGGTTCCCTGGAAGATCAAATTGTTGCAGCGAGCCCTCTGCTGGAGGCTTATGGTAATGCCAAGACTATGAGGAATGACAACTCCTCTCGTTTTGTAAGTTATTTAATCTAATTTTTCCTAAAATTTCACTCCCAGAATTATCTGCAAAATTACTGTTTTAAAGTTCTAATACTTTAATTATATTATAGGGTAAATTCATCAGAATCCATTTTGGGCCAACAGGGAAACTGGCTTCTGCTGATATTGAAACTTGTAAGTTCTCATCTACCAAATGATTTACTTCTATTTAATTCAGCACAAAATGATAAACGTAACATGTTGCAAACTCCTAATGACAGATTTGCTGGAAAAGTCAAGAGTCACTTTCCAGCTGTTAGCTGAGAGAAGCTACCACATCTTCTATCAACTTACGACAGGCCACAAACCAGAGCTGCTTGGTATGTATCCAGTGCCTGGGGTAAACTGGGGTTTTGTACCTACAGATTACATCTCAAATATCTTCTTCATCTGTACAGACGCACTTCTGATCACCACCAATCCATACGACTACCCCATGATCAGTCAAGGGGAGATTACCGTTAAAAGTATCAATGACGTTGAAGAATTTATAGCCACAGACGTGAGTAAATGATTAATGAAACATCACATTCTTTTAATCATAGTATTACAACATAAATTTGTCTTAGCATTCAGTAAATTATAAATCATGTTTTTCTTTTGAATCATGCAGACTGCAATTGACATCTTGGGTTTTAATGCTGAGGAGAAAATGGGCATCTACAAACTGACTGGAGCAGTGATGCATCATGGGAACATGAAGTTCAAGCAGAAGCAGAGAGAGGAGCAGGCAGAACCTGATAGCACTGAGGGTAACTTATACGATAACCTCAACCATAAAATAATTTACCCAGAGTTATAGATCATTAACCAAAAATATTGTTCGTATTTCAGTGGCCGATAAAATCGCCTACCTCATGGGCCTGAACTCAGCTGACATGCTGAAGGCTCTGTGCTACCCCAGAGTGAAGGTCGGGAATGAGTTTGTGACCAAGGGGCAGACTGTACCTCAGGTAGAAATTAAGCCACATTCTATTCTGATTAGAGTGATTAAAGAATAATTCAACAGTATCTGTCATGAGACAGATCGGGCACAGGGGTCCCAAACATTGTGCAACCAAAATCCAGAAGAAAAGAATCAAAATCATGGTCGAGAGCAGAAGTTGTAAAGCCAAATAATCTATCCTGGAGAGTGAGGGGACAAGCAAACACCTGTTATGACATGGGGAAAGTGGAACTCTCAGGCACACCTAGACAGGGGTCCTAATCAACACTTGCATGGGGAACAGGGTCCTGGAGAACAGGCACATAAAATAACACAGGAGTATACTCACGCAACCTGGGAAGAACAGTGCGGAGAAGCACTCGGTTGTCAGGCATATAAAGATGAAACCTTGCAATGTGTAAACCGGTTCTCCTGGTTTAATACTACTGATTAGATTTAAAACAGGGCAGCTTTCAATACTTCAGTGAGTTAGATAGGGCTATGGGACGTGGTTGCAGCAAGCAGTCCAAGCTCCTACACATAGTATGATTGTGAAATTTAACTGAATATATGGTACTTAATATTAACAGCAAATCTCATGAAACATACATTTCTCTTTTCATTTTTGTAAACCAGGTTAACAGTACTGCTATGGCTTTGTGGTGATTGGTCTATGAGGACATAAAGAAAATTTGTATTTCCTTTTCGCAATGATTAGGTGAACAATGCTGTTAGCGCCCTCTGCAAATCAGTCTATGAGAAAATGTTCTTATGGATGGTGGTGCGTATCAATGAGATGTTGGACACCAAGCAGTCAAGACAATTATTCATTGGTGTGCTGGACATTGCTGGATTTGAAATCTTTGATGTGAGTGGATGCTGCTAATACAATTAAATATTGTTTGGAATATGTCATTTCCATCTTAATGAGGCATTAAAAGTTTACTTCAACAATAGCTCAACAGTTTGGAGCAGCTGTGCATTAACTTTACCAATGAGAAACTGCAACAGTTCTTCAACCATCACATGTTTGTGCTGGAACAAGAGGAGTACAAGAAAGAGGGGATTGAGTGGGAGTTCATTGACTTTGGTATGGACTTGGCTGCCTGCATTGAGCTTATTGAGAAGGTATGTGACATGAACATTGCTCTATATGAAAAGATTCTCCCTTTATTGTCATTTTTAAAGATTCTGCTTATTTGTGCTTATTTAATTTTTTGTGTCTCCAACAGCCAATGGGCATCTTCTCTATCCTTGAAGAGGAGTGCATGTTCCCCAAGGCTACAGACACAAGCTTCAAAAAGAAGCTGTATGACCAACATATGGGCAAAAATAAAGCCTTCCAGAAGCCCACGGCTGTCAAAGGCAAAGCTGAGGCCCACTTCTCCCTGGTGCACTATGCTGGCACTGTGGATTACAACCTCACCGGCTGGCTGGACAAGAACAAGGATCCTCTGAATGAATCTGTTGTGCAACTCTACCAGAAGTCATCTGTCAAACTGCTGGTTCACCTCTGTGCATCACATGGTTCAGATGAAGGTATTTACAATTTTAGACTTTTGCTTATGTCCATTGAAAAAGAAGAGAGTGCTTTCATCAGGAAGACGAATAATGGCATATCACTATATACTCACAAATACATTGGTGTGTGATGTAAAGACAATTAATTTCTAAACAGATGCTAGCGGTGGCAAAAAGGGAGGCAAGAAGAAGGGTGGCTCCTTCCAGACTGTGTCTGCTCTGTTCAGGGTACAGTACATATTGTAATCAGTTACTGTCTGCAATATCTACAGTCATGTGAAAAAATTAGGACACCCCATTAAATGTTTAGTTCTTTATTAAGAAATATCAACATATCACTATTAAATCTTCTTTCAAATCATATGTGTAGATAAAGGTGATGTAACTGTATCACTTATGCAAAAAAAGAAACAAATTCACTTATTTAATAGAAATAATGCCAATTTCCATTTAGGAAAAAGTTAGGACACCTTCACATCCATTATTATTTAAAATGCCTAGAGTTAGATTCTGGTACACCACATCAGGTGAAAATGATTAGAACATTATTACAGAGCTTTATTTTGTGGAGCCTGTCTTATTTAAACCATAGACATTTAATTTGGTTTACTCTTGATTGTTGAAATGAGTGGGATTACCATGGTGAGATCCAAAGAGCTCTCTGAGGCCTTCAGAAAGAAGCATGTAGATGCATATGAGTCTGGAAAGGATATAAAAACATCTCAAGAGAGTTTGGAATCAGCCATTCCACTGTCTGGAGAATAATTTACAAGTGGAGAATAGGGTGACCACCTAATCCATGTCAGGAGGGACACTATGAGCTACTTCAGCTTTTACGAACTACTTTAAAGCTGAAAGGATTCTGTGCTCT